ATCCCTTGCTGGCAGTGATGGGGGTATGAATCACATGTTAATTTTAGAAACACTGCCTGGAAATTCTGCTAGATATAGAGAAGGGTGAGTAAAAGGCCTTCCTCTTACCAGACATCAGGACAGATTGTTGGCATCTCGTAGATATAGGTTGCCTCTTTCCTGGTGTAAGGCTCTGGAGGACCCTTGATGAAGCCAGCGTAGAGCAGAGAGATGCCTGGGGCCAGCAGTGGGTGATGAGGGGACATGAGGGTCTCCCAGGGCCACGCAGAGCATTGATACTCTATCCAGCGGGACTCTCATGATGAGTGTGGCTGCTGAAGGGTTAATTTCAGCCCCACGCCGTGTTATACAAGGAATCTTGCAGCTCAACAGGAAAGGAATTAAATTCTTGCCTATTGTACCCACAGGCTGAGGGAAAAACGCGAGCYGGAGTGGGAACTAACAGGAAGCCACAGGTCCCCCTGGCAGCAACGGGATGGCACCGTTTCCATATTTACAAGCGTGGGGTTCCTCCAGCCCGGAGGAGTCGCCCTGGAGTGAGTTGCTGCAAGTGTTTCCTCATCCCTCTACAAGTGAAGCTGCCTGGGGAATTATTGCCTTCCCGCAACTTGTCTTTTTGCCTAGATTCTTCATTATCATTTTTCAGTTTTTTTCCCCCGAAGTACCTTACTTTGCCAAGTACAGCTAAATAAATGTCAGCGCTTTCCATTAGAAGCAGCAAGAGATTTGGCAAAATAGCTATTTTCCTAAAAAAAGRAAACAACAAAAAAAAAGCCACCTCCAAAATGGTTTTCTGCCCCCAAAATGTCAGTGGAAATATTTCAACCAGTTCCATTTGTACTGGCAGAAATAAAGCCAAGATGCCAATATACATCTTCATGCAAATGACAACTTGCAGCCCTGTGATAACCAAGACTCCAGACATCCTTGTGCAGGGAAAAGGAGGGGGAAAAAAAACAAATGGTGGGTGTTTTTTGTGCATGGTGGGTGACAAAAACAAGAGCCCAAACAGAAAAGACCTTGCAAGCCAGTCCAGATGGGAGCTTTCATCTTCCTCCAAACAGAAAAGAGTTTGCATATCAACTGTGGAACAGAGGTCCGATTTCCGTGCCAATACCAAAGCAATCCTGCATGCCAAAGCAGAGGGGAATTTACAGGTCAATATGAGAGAGCTTTGCTATGAATCACACTGCATAAAGAAAAGGTGTTCCTAGTGGCCAAAAAGCAAGCTTTTTCCCCCAAAATTAGCCCAGAGGAGAGCTTTTTTGCCAAGGGAAAAGAACCTGTCTTAAAAAAAAACCTTATAGCTGCTGCCTTAGGGGAAAAAGAATGACAGTCTTTCAAATCTAGACCAATTAGTAAGGTGAAAAAAAAAAAAAGAAGGGTTCTATGCTAATTAAAAATTAAACCCAACAAGACAACAGTATAAAAAATGGAGGAAATGAATGAAAACAATTAGCAGAGATGAAAAAAAAAACGGGGATGGGAATGATATAAATTGAACCTATTATAAGGCACTAATGACATTCGAAAACCTAATTTTTACATTGTCAAACCATTTTGATTAAGTGTTAAACGCTGCTCTTGTGAACTTGGCATATATTGTGCAAGAGCGGTAATTTCTGCCTTTATCTTCCTCGGGCTTTCTCTGAAAAAGGTGCTTGTGTGCTGAAAGARGCAGCTCGTGCTCCTCTTTCTTTAGTGCTAGGGAGTTATCAGCCTCCCTTCCCTTCCTTTGTAAGTGCCAGGAAGCCCCAGCCCTGCCTGATAAGGGCTATTTTCCTGTTTGCAGGGAGAGGAACCCGGGTAGGATTGGGGCGATGAGGAGAGGGAGGTGAGAAATGATGAAGACTGGTGAAAAAGGTGCAAAACAGACTGTTTTTATAGCCAGGAAACTTTTCTCTGCTCTTTTTTTTTTTGAAAATGGAATAAGCAAAATAATTGAAAGCGAGAAAATTGACTTTTTATTGCCTTTTAAGTGCTTAACATGAAGTTTCATCTAGAAAAATTATTGTTATTTTTATCTGTAGCGGCGTCGCTCGAGCTTCTCCTCCGAGAAGATATTTCTTGAGTGGAGGGCGCCAGCTGCAAGGAGCCGCGCGGGGAATGACAATGGCCTATGCAAATACTCCGGAGCAGCCATCCCTGCGGAAGCCTTTGCTGCAACCAGGAGGTGAGGGAGCTCAGCACCTGGCAGGAGAAGGTCCATCCAACCAGCTGGGAGGTGTTGGAGTTGCTGGGTATAAAGCCTGCTCCGGGAGGCCAAGTGTCGTTATCCATATGGGATTTTAGGCCAGGTATAATCTGTCTTCTCACCTTTAGTGAGGAGGGTGACTCCCAATAACCACAGTCTTGAGTTTTCTCTGCTTTGGAAGAGTTAACTCTGTTAGAGTTGACTAAGGAGACGGACTCTGTAGTGATGCTGGTTGCCTTATTTCAGAATATGGGGTTGGTTTCCACCCTGCCAATTGTCCCTAGTGATGCAGCTCAGGTAGGTTCATGCAGGGCCTTGCTACTCCAGAATGGGTCAGACAGGCAMGACTGGAGGAAGGACAATGGGGAATTAAAGTTTTCATCCAGAAAAGTCCAAAAAAAAATTATTTTCCTTGAAAACTAAGAATGGGAAGAGGAATGCGCTCTGTAAATAGGAAGGAGAATATGGCACTTTGGGCTGTTCCTGGCTCCTGTGTCCTCCTGAGCTTTATCCACAGARAAAGAGTGACAGGGGTGGAAGTGATAGATCCAGGCTAGATCATGAGGACTCGGATCCACATAGAGCAGATAAGCAGCAGCATGYGAGTCACTGTAACTAAGACAGCGACATGCAGGTATCATGACCAAGGGCAACGACTATGTGAGAGGTGATAACACAGAAGCTAAGCTGGGCTCGAGCGGGGGACGCATCTAGAAATCCTGGTGCAGAGAGAATCTCTCCGCTTTGGCAAAGCACAAAGTCTTTTTACAGAAACATTGCATCCCTCAGGACAAAAGATTTGATCGCATCTCGGTTGGTGCCAACCTGACATAGAAGAAAAATTATGCATTACAAAATGCTAAAAGACAGCTAAAGGGAAAGAGTCAGGAGAGGGGATGGAGCCACAAAAATAAATCAGAATCACAATGGAGGAAAAGGACGGGAAGTTAGAGMGAAAATAGAGAAGAACTTTTGGAAGGTAAGGCTTTTAGAAAGAAACAAATATGGAGGGAAGAAGAAGGAGACTAAAAAGCCAGGACATGAGGCCAGGCCGTGTGGTTGGTGTCCTTTATATCAATTTTTTACTGCCCCTTTTCGTCTGCCCTAGGAGTAGTTCATAAAGCACAGCGTTTATTACAGGGGTGGTATCACACACTGCAAACCCATTTTGTGACTGCAGCCACTGGGGGATCACGTGTTGAGCTGGCCCCCATTGCAGCTGACAGCCTCAATGAATTCAAAAAAGTGGAGAAGGACACAGGTGACAAGGTATTTGCAATGTGCGTGTCCATCTCTCATCCGTTTGCAAGGCAAAGAAAGCAAATCCCCTCCGTGCTACCAGCAAGCACATTTTTTTTGTGAGCTTTGCCAAATCGGGAGCTAAGGCTTAAGCTCTTGGGTCATGCAATTATGTAAGTCTCTGCTTTTATTTTTTAAAATGCCACTTTCTACCCTGTTTACCTGTGGAGAAAGACTTGGAAGCATCAGGCACACGTACAGGTTCAAACCCAGCTAATTATCAGCACGAGTTTTTTAATGTCTTGCTGCTGGGATCCTTGATTTTGAATTGCCAGAGCCCAGGCAATGGGCACAGTGGCCTTGCAACCAGAGCCAGGGCTAATGTAGAGTTCTTACCACGTGTCCCCYCTTTACTTTTAAGGGCTCCTACTACCCCTCATAGTATCTCAACCAACAGAGTGTTGAAAAATATGCTCATCTTGATGTAGGTTGTGCAGACTTGACCAGACTGCTCTGTGCTGCTTCTGTTCAAGGGGAGTCTCCTGGGATAAAGATCACACAGGAAAAAAGTCCCTTCATTTGGTGACTCTCCAACTTTCTCTTAACTTCAGTGTCCTTAAGCTCCTCTGTGTTGTCCCACAGTCAAGTGACACTTGTGAAGTTCAGCTTTCAGTAAAAAATGGAACTCGGTTTCTAACACCCCTGTGCACAAAATCTTGTAAATCCCAGATTTCTTTTTTTTTCCAAGAAGTGAGAAATAAGGGTGGCGTGGCTTTAAAAGAAAAGCCTTTCAGATTTTTGGTGCCTGATTAATGAGACTTGAAGGCCTGAGTCTGCTGTTACTAAGTGGGTTAGAACCAGAATCTCAGATTATTAAAGATGGAAATTGGAAACTAATTAGGAGTTCATGTTTGCTTTATATATTTTTTTTTAATTCTTATGTTCCACTCAGCTGCTCTTAGTGATACCAGCCTATTWAATTTCCCTTCCTCCTGCCTGTCATTTCTACCCTCTGTTTCTCGTATTGGGAAATATGAGCTGCTGGGATCAGGACATATTTGGCAGGGGGGAAGTCCTATCTCAACAGCCAGCGATTTGCCATCTTCATTTAAATAAAACAAAGAGGATATTATGATGTATTTTTGCTGGTGGCCCCAAATTCGGATAGTTTATACTCCTGCAGGGATAATGGCACCTGGTCGGACACCAGCTGGCAARTGCATCGCCACCTGGAATCATTTACAGAGGACGTGTCGTGCTCCAGGTGCAGGTATCCACCCTCTAAATACAGCCACAGCATTCACAGTCCTCCTTGTTTCAGCCTCTCTCTGCTCTGTTTTGCTCCTGCCTTCTCCTGTACATGGATTCTCCCTCCTGTCCATGCTCTGAGCCCTCCTTCCCCGCACGGTGTCTCCTTCCCTTCGTGCTGCCCTGGATCCTGCTCTGTTCATCTGRTGCCACCACTGCTCCTTGTCTCTGATCCTTCTCTCCTGCCTCTGTGGTTCTCTTTTCCTCCTGGGTGTTGCTGCTCCAATGGGCCATGTCGTGGGATGGATGTGGACAAGGGACAACCTTTCCCTCCAGAACTTCCAAGAACTTGATCAGAAAACCTGGCTCCAACCTTCATGGTCTGTCCCGTGGCTAATTCTACCTGCTCTGATGGGCACCCACAGATCACTCTTATCCAGGGTCGTGGCAACAATTTCTAGCTGCATTGTAGATGAAATCCCTTTTCCTTTTCCAGCAGGATTTAAAGAGGGAATGTGGTGTGCATGGTAACCCACCATTCAAGGGATGTCTTTGCAGAAATCCTCCCACAAATTGAGCTGGGTTGGATTTAACCCCACCAAGCCAATAGAAGAAAATGATAAGACGAAGCACTGAAGCAGCTGGAGGAGGCAAAGCTGAGGACTGTTGCAGTGAGTGTGGCCTAACTTGTGTCCTTCAAGTTCCCCACATTTGTGGTATTTTACCCCACTCATTTGTCACACAAGACAAACTGCAGGCTCGATCCCTCTGCAAACAGCCCTGGAGCTTCCCTTCACCACAGGGTAACAGCCAAATGCAGCCCTAGACACCCAGGTCTTTGCCCCTTAGCAGACTCCTCTCTTTAGGCACCCGTGTGACTTCTTWAGCTTTAGGGAGCCAAACACTTGTGGAAAGAGCGGGTCGTTCCCCAGTTACACTGACTTTTTTTCTGCTTTCCTGGCCACTGTCTGTTTGACCCTCAGTGCCAACAGAGCATAAATAGGTGTTTTTAAGGGAAGACACATAAGGGTGGCCTTGTGTTGGGAAGAGAGCATTATGGCTTGATCAGACATAAGAAATGAAGGAAATAAGTTAAAACCAAATAATAATATGTTAAAAAAAATCAGAGACAAGCTACACTGCCAYAGGAAGAGGTGGCTGTTTGTATTTGTTCTGTGAAATAATTCCATTATTTTCACCATGCTTTTTGCTGATGGCTTTGCGGGCGTTTTTAATGAATGTGGAGTCAGGCCCTGCCGGGGGACACCTGCCTGCACGTCTCAGCATCGTCTCCGCTGGGTTTTAGGTGTGTGTGTGTTCCACAGAAAGAAATACTATCTGTCTGGTTTTTACTATCTCCCTTTCTCAGGCTGCCTTTCTGTCCTAGAAGGCCTTGGGCGTTCCGTTTGCTTCCCGGTTCTCTCAGTATTCGTGAAGGCAGCAGGCAAGGAGGARGCTGGTTTAGCTCTGCGTGTGAAGCCAGGCCTGGATCCTGCAAGTGGCGGCAGTCGCGTGCAGATTGGGGTTGGGGTTAGGGTTAGGATTACAGTTAAGGTTAGACTTATGGTTAGAGTTACGGTTATGCTTACGGTTAGGATTACACTTACAGTTAAGGTTATAGTTAAGGTTATGGTAGGGCTAGGATTATGGTTAAGGTTAGGGTTACGGTTAGGGCTAGGGTTAAGGTTAGGGTTATGGTTAGGGCTAGGATTATGGTTAAAGTTATTGTTAAGGTTATGGTTATTTTTAGGGTTAAGGTTAGGGTTATGGTTAAGAATAGAGTTGGGGTTATGATTAGGGTTAAGGTTAGAGTTACGGTTATGGTTAGGATTAGGCTTGGGGTTATGGTTAGGGTTACGGTTAGGGATAGAGTTAAGATTAGGGTTATGGTTAGGATTGGGGTTACAGTTAGGGTTACGATTATGGTTACAGTTAGGGTTATGGTTAGGGTTAGGATTACAGTTATGGTTAGGATTAGGTTTGGGATTATGTTTAGGGTTATGGTTAGGGATAGAGTTAAGATTAGGGTTACGGTTAGGGTTGGGGTTAGGGTTACAGTTAGGGTTAGCGTTTGTCCTTGGTGTCCTTCACCCGCCTCAGAGTGAAGCCTGTCAATCCTTTGTCATTTTCCTCCTTATTCAGGGAGTTACACTAGAAGGAAAGGGTGGTATGTGCTTTAAACCAACGCTTACTTAAGACAGGCATCTTAGACAAGATTCTCAGGCTGTAAACAAAACACAGAGCTACAGCACTCTGCTCTGGCCTCCCTGTTCTTGGGAAGGACATTCCCTTTGGGAATGGGGATAACCTGGTGGCTGCATGTGCCCTTAAGCAGAGCTTGCTCCTCCTGCGCTTCCAGCCCTGCTGCTAACTAAGTTTTATGCACGTAATATTCTTCTGCTCAGGAAACCACCTGGAATCAAAAGTGCATTTAGGCTTGTAACTCAGCCTTACTGAAGTCAAAGGGATTTAAACACATGCTTAACTTAATCAGGATCCAGAGTGCTCCTTTGAACTGGGCCGTTTATGAGGTTAGGTTCTTCCTGGCAGCCCCTGGAAACTTATGTGAGTTTTTCCTTCTTGCACATTGCTCCTCATACACTGTTGATGGAACAATCTGTTATCCATTAATGCTGCAGATTAAGCCATTTTGCCTGAATCTTTGTTTTCAGTAGACGTTTTAAGTGCTCATCTCCTACAATATATTTATTTGATTTCCAATGCCTACTTACATGATGACAGCAAATCCAGAGTAGGTTTAATAACTGTTTATTCTGTCTCCTCAGGCACACATTGACTGCAGGAGGTGGCATGAACTCAGCGCTGGCATTAAACTACAATTGTGATGGCCATCCTGAAAAATGAGGCAGCGAGTATGAGAGCTTTCCAGTTGCAAATTATTGCTGCATGGATGTGAAAGGCACGAGCCATTCCCATGGAGTTTCAAGGACAGGTTCCACAGAATTGCACCGGGAAGGTTTAAGTTGAAGCTGATCTGGCCTTGGGACAGATGATGTGTGCAATGACTTCCTGAGGGCCCTACCAGAGTAATTGTTATTGATCTTTCAGCTGGTAAGTGGACTATTTATTGTTTGCACCTCTCTGGAGGAAAAGGGGTGACTCTTTGGTGGCTCATGATTCAAGGAGCTGTTTTATCTCTGAGAGCTGCTGGGTGGGAGCCCCAGCTGCAGAGCAGATCTGCTCTGGGCAGCTCAGATGATGTCTGTGGGCACTGTTACCAACACAATACCGGCCTGCACGCCTGGGATGTGGCTCTGCAGGTGGCTCAGATGTGGAATGTGCTGGACAGGGTGGTGGTAACAGCTTCTGCTGATGGGCAAAGAGCACTGGGGCACAGGAGAGTCTTCAAAGAAGTTAGCTGAGAGGTCACAAGAAAAAGTGGTTTTGTCAGCACAGCGTAAGGGGACTGTGGCAGCATGTCCCACTTCTCTTGGAATCTGGCTTCCCAAATTACTATGGWAGTACCACTTTCCTTGGTCCTTCCCATCACTCCAGTGCTACCAGTCCCCCTCCATTTGAGCCCTGACGGATCCATTGCAGGGCCTGYGCTTTCCACAAAGCCTTTCCTGCCAGGTATTTAAAGGCAGCCTCACAACTATTAACCCAACTGTAAACTCCCCGCTGCGCTGCGTGCCAGGGGAGCCTCTTCCAAGCAGGTGTCTCCCTGATTATAACCAGCAGAGAGGGTCCAAGCTCGCCTGAGAGCAGCCAAGGATATAACCCTTCCAGCTGGTCACAGATGGCAAAGCCTCCCCCTGACCATGGTGACGCTGGCAAAGTCATCCCTCTGGCTGCTTGGGAGCAGTTTTGGGAACAGCTGCCCCGGGCACTGTATGAAGGGAAGCACTAGAGCCATTTCAAGGGCTTTATCAGGCTCTTCCCATGCTCTGTGTGGACCCTCCCAAAAGCCTGGACAGTTTCCGTGTGTGTTTTCATAGGGAAGGAGGGTTAATGACAGAAAGGTGGCTGTTTGCAGGAGCGGAATTGATGGTTGCCTTTGCACTGCTCAGATGTTAAAAGAAATTAAGTCATCCTGTCAAAGGACCGTTCGCTATTTCRGGATGCAGTGGCACTGTATATTCTCCATGTCCTTTCCCTATGAGCATGGATAAGATACAGGGAAAAAAGAGGAGGAATTCATACACCATCAATGATTCACTGAACAGAGACCCAAAGCAGCCCTGCGGCCTCCTCACGGAGACTTTCATGATACTGGACACTGCTGTCCTGGTGTTTATGCTACAGATGGTTTGAGGAGACAGGCAACATTAAATTTCTCATTCCCTTTCTCTGCACCAARTTCGTAATTGCTTTAAAAAAAATCCAGTAGCTTTTGGTCCTGTATTAAGATGAGAATAGCTCGCCTGCCACCTTGCTCTGYGTCTTAAGGTATCCAAAATTCCAGTGTTGTGAGCTCTGCTTTGGATTTCTGGCAGCACAACACATGAATTAGATAACCTGTTCTTCTTCCTAATGCAATTAGATAATTTCGTGGTGTTTCACCAACCTCTTCTTGTGTGACTTAGGTGACAAGTCTGTGTGTCTGGGACAGGTTTAATGCCTGCCCGCCCACGGGTTCCTCTTAAGCTGTCATTCTACACTGTCATTTTGTCAGCCTTCCCACCTGAGACTGTGGCTGCGAGCAGCGTGCACCGAGCCTGACTCCAGCTCCAGCTGCCTCCAGCGTTGCTGCTTGCTCTGATTCCTTCTGATGACTTCCAGATGATCGCCCAGATGTTAGGGGAGAGTGGAGAGGTGCCGCGAGAGCAGCTGGCCCTGACTGATTATATTTAACCTTAAAGGAATCCGTCTGTGGTTAAATTTGCGTTTACCCCGAGGTGAGGGATGTTTTGCCAAAGACTGGAGCTGTTCCCATGTTCTCAGCTCCAGAGCAACTCGAGGTTGGTACTTCAGAGAGAAGGGGGAAGATATTTCAGTTGGCTGGATCGCATCACCGCTTCACACAATCAAAAATCATGTCCACGAGCAACCAAGCAAATCCTCAGCAGGTAAAAAATCAGAAGCAAAAATTTGCCAAGCTCTATTTTCCTTAGCAGCTCTGGTTACCAAGGCAGAGGTGTCACCAAGAGGTGCAGCCCTACCTGGACACGAAGGGGCCTTTGCTGGTTTGGCAGAGCTCGTGCCATGGTGCAGGCTCCTGCATGTTCCCATGGACTTATAATCTCCTATTTAACGTACTCTTTTAATGGAAGCTCTGCATGTGTTTGCCTTAAGAGACCTTAAGAAATCAGACTTATTTGGGATGTTCATGGAAGCGGTTCACCTGAGCCTAGTTACAACGGGTTGCTTTGTTCCAAACAGGAAAGGACGGAACCTTCTTGGTGTCTCAGGAAACATCCCACCTTGCAGTTCTGCTCAAAATTCACCTTCCTTTGGATTTTCCTTGAGTATGAGCATTTGGTCACCTATTTTATTTCCATCAGCCATTTCAGGGGGTAGCTGACAAACTTGTAGCCACAGCTGTGCAACTTTCTCCCAGGTTGGAGCTCCTGCAAAGCTCAGTGTGTGCCAGAACCAACCAGTTATCCCACCTGGCTCCCCAGGGCTGCTGAAGCTTTTAACCAAGCTGTGACCTGCCGTCTTTGCCTCCCCAGTGACCTTTTCCTGAACAATGTCTCCAGTTATTTAAAGAAAAAATGTTCCAGAAATCTGTTTTTTTACAGATTTTTAGCACCTGGGAAGAATGCCTRTGTGATAGATACAGAAATGAAGTCTTCTGTTGTTTTGCACAGGTGTAGCTTGCACAAACCAGCATGAATTCTCCCTGTTCTCCACACTTCTCTGTCAACCTCAATCCTGAACCCCACAGATCTCTGCTGAGGGTGCCAAGACAGCTCAGCCCTYGTGGTTAATTTAAAGTCCTCATCTGAGTGCCAGCAACTTTGGACATCAGTACTGATTGCCTSTTTCTTCCGTGATGAAGGCAGCTTTTTTTTTTGGAAGAAGGAGGACTGAGACCATCAGCCAGGTTCAAGTCATACTCGGCCTTCAGATTTTAGTCGGCCACTTTTGTCAGGTTAGGACCAGGGACCCATATGCAAAGACTTCATATCCCCTTCCTCTGAGGCATCCAGCAGAGCCAACTTGGAAGCTTTTGCAGAGCTCTCAAACCCTCTCCTGCTTCCTTGGAAATCCATATTGTTGCTAATTAGCCATCTATTGGAAAGCATGGCTGGACTTCTGTTAGGCTGGCTTCATTAGTCAGTGTCTTTGCATGGCTCTAGAGATGACCATTTGCTGTTGCCTGCAAGCAAAATGCAGAGGAACTTGCAGCTCATCCTCTAGATCTGTAGAAAGACCTCTCAAGATGCTACAGTGCTGTCTCACTCCCCCTTTTCCTTATTTTATGTGGAATCAGAGCCCATGGACGTGAGGAAGAAGCAGCTTCTCTCCCACACCAGTGCTGGTGCAAACCAGCCCAGCTGCTGATCTCCCAAATGGGGGCTACCAAACTGGCCTGTGCAAAAGTCCCTTTTCSTGGTCTTCAGCCAGGTCCATTTAGGCTCTGATCTGCAGCGGCACCCACCGTCCCACTGGAATGTGTTCACAGGGCTCCTGCTTTGGCAGCCTGAACTAGTGCAGCACTTAGGTGGGTTCGTGTCTCCCTCAAGGCAACGTCTCTAGCAGTGCACCTCTGTGCTTCTAGACCTGCATATTTGCTGAAAAATGGTAGCAAAATGGGTAACAGCAACTTGGATGATCGCAGACCGAGCTCAGCAGCTTGGCTTATACATTGGTTTATAGGGGAGACAGATGGGCTAGAACAGGCAGCCTTTGATCTCCAACCATCTCACTAATGATTGAGCTGCTCTTGTGCTTTGGTCCTTTGTGTCTGCTTGGGCAGTGCTCCTGTGGACACGTTCCCTGCAGAATGAGGCCACAGGGGTAACGCTGTTACATCCACCATGCGTGCTCCTGTCCTGTAAGCAGGAATCTCCAGCATTTCAGAGCTTCTCGTTGGAGTGACCTTGCTGCACACTGAAGCATCCCAAGGGAGGTGGACTCAACAGCACCATCCCAGGTATTTCATCTCTCCCTGTCTAACCAGGCACTGTCAATCTTCTTGGTTAACCAGCTACAGTCGGATGAAATACGAGGACCTCTGTGAAAAGCAGTTACTGTAGCAGACAAGATGACTTATGAAGGCACAGTTGTTGTTACAGACGTACTTTCCCACTTTGTTCTAAAACGAAAATATGAAAGCTGCAACTTAATTCTTTTGCTCTGCTGAAGCTGCAGGCGTGGTGGCAGCTGCACATAATAATGATCATTTAACATCACGTTAGTCCCCAGAGGCCCAGGCAAGATTCAAGTTACGCTTCCAGGTGATACGTGTGCAGGCAGCAGCATGAAGAACTTGCAAGGTAACAGTTGTACTCCTAGTTCTGGCTTTAAACGTTAAGGGAATTGTGCATCTCTGCTTAGATATCTGCTGAGTGTCTGTCACTGTGGTGCTGCTGGAGTTATATTCTGCCTTAACCAGGAGGCTGTGATTAAACAACAACAAACCAGACTCAGCTTTGCTTCCAGCTTAGTTTTCCTTTATTTACCAGGGTTTACAGCGTGGCTGCAACAGCACAGACGCACGGAGACATCTCGTGCAGAATCACAAGCAGAAGCTACACGTGTCATTTCAATATCTAAGGATTGCTGCTTCCGAAACAGCAAGCTGAGAGAGGGAGAGAACAAGCAGAGAAAGAGAGGGAGAGATGAAAGGGAAGGAAAGAGGGGAAACTAAGGAGGGGTCCCAGGTAAAAGAGAATTGGTAATCGCGTGGAGGAAGAAGCAAACCACAAGCACGAGGGCTTAAATGAGGCAGGGCAAGAGGGAGGGATGGAGGAAGATTAGCGGGGGAAAAATGGGAAACAAAAATTTGCAGAGGTGAAATTGAAATAGGAGAAAAAAATATACAGCAAAAGGAGAATTT